GCCCGGCCGCCGCGGTCGCGTACAGCGCCATGCTCCCGCCCTTTACGGCTCTGTCGCAAAGCACGCCCGACTTCCGGGGCCACACGGCACGAACTTCCGGGCCGGGCTTCCGCGTGTGGGGCCGTGTTCCCCGAGGTGCGTGTGGGTTTCGCGGCCGCCAGGGCCGGGAGTGCGACGTTTTGCCGCTTCTTCGCGATTTCTTTTCTTTTTGCCTTCCAATCTTTGCCAATCTCATGGGCAAGTAATAGCGCTTTAATGGTGTTTTAGTTTAATTCTCTTGTTGAGGTTGCGTATCTTCACGTGTTTGTTACAGCCTGACCGGGTTCTCATAATTTTAATCAGTTTGACTGATTTCAACAAAGATTATAAGAAACATCTAACCATTTCTTGTTGTTAAAGGGCAGATCGATATTCCAAGGGAAACTATTTTACTCCGACCTAGAGGTCCAGATTCTGGCCTTGCAGTTGTGTGTTTAGATTGTAGAGAAATTATACTCTTAGGTTTTAGCCAGTTTGATTACATATACAATTTCTTTTGTAAGATCAACCTTCCATAGACTTTTTGCACCTTGTTTAAACCTTCCATTTTATCTTAACATTTTAAACTTATGACAAAAATTTGCTTTCTTCCAAACTTTTTATATCTATTTAGCTTTAGCCATCATTTACATTCCTCTAAAAAATTTTTTTCTACAAAAAATTAGCTGGGCATAGTGGTGTGTGCTGGTAGACCCAGCTACTTGGGAGGCTGAGACGGGAGAATTGCTTGAGCCCAGACATTCGAGACCACCTGGCCAAAATGATACCCCCATCTCTAGAAACAAGAAAAAGCTGGGCACGGTGGCTCAAGCCTGTAATCCCAGCACTTTGGGATGCCGGGTTGAGATGATTGCCTGAGCCCAGGGGTTCGAGACCAGCCTGGGTGACTTGGCGAAACCTCATCTCTACAATAAATCAAAAAATATACCTAGGTTGGTATCACGCGCATGTGGTTCCAGCTATTTGGAAGACTAAGGCAGAAGGATTTCCTGAGCCCAGTAGGTCAAGGCTGCGGTGGCTGTGAGCGTGCCACTGCACTCCAGCCTGGGTGTCTTGGGTGTGTCAAAACTGTCTTGGAGGGGGCAGCACAGGACTGTTAGAGCCAGCTTCCTGTTACGTGCTGCCGTCCCCGGTAGGGCCTCAGATCCACCCTAATGAAAAATATCTCCAGGACCACTGTTAGGTTTTACAGTAAATGTTAACTATAAAGCAAGTCTCTTGACCGTCAGCCACTAGCCCTTGGGCAGTGAGTCGTTACGTTGTAGAGCCAGTACAGAGGTGCCTGAGGTGTGCTCGCTGGAGGATGGAGAGATCTGTGGCCCACTGCTGAAGGAAAAGTATGTTGCTTAGGCTTGCAGGGCAAGCTTCTCCCCTCCCCAGGGGTCAGGACACGAAGATAATCAGTCGCCCTCTATTGGAGGGAAAGCAAACCTAGAACGACAGATTTTGTTCTCTTCTAACCATGGCTGTAGCTTTGCAGGGTTCGGGTCTGCAGCTTTTACACTGTGGCTTGATACTAACTTTATATAGGCAGTTTTGTGTTTATTGGACATTTGTATTTCTTCTGTTATGAGCGCACATTAATGCCTTTTTGCTCACTCTTCTACCACTACCACCTTACCGCCCTTAGGTATTAACAACGCACACCATTCGTTCTGGGTATTGAAATTTTTCTAGTTTATTGTTGCCTTTTAATGTGTTTTGTGGCTATTTTGGACACCTTTTTTTTTTTGGGTTGGAGTCTCACTCTGTCACCCAGGCTGCAGTGCAGTGGCACGCTCACGGCCATCCCAGCATCAACCTGCTGGGCTCCAGTGATCCTTCGCCTCAGCCTTCCAAGCAGCTGGAACTACAGGCACATGCTACCGCGCCTGGCTAATTTATTTTATTTTATTTTATTGTAGAGACGAGGTCTCGCCAAGTTCTCCGGGCTGGTCTCGAACCCGCAGGCTCGGGCAATCCACATGCCTCGGCCTCCCAAAGTGCTGGGATTACAGGCTGAGCCACTGAGCCCAGCTTGGATATCTTTTATGGTTTCTTCCATGGGTGCATTCTTGGAAACCCTTTCACACCTCCACAATGTAGAAATCACAGCTTCATTTTTTTCTCACTTAAAATTTTAATCCATTTAGAAGTCAGTTTGGCATACGATGGAAGGAAGGGCTCTGTCTCCAAATGACTCACCTTTCATTCGTTGATTGTAATGAATAATTTATAGGAATATTTTCCCCAGCCTGAGCTCTGAGAGGACAAGGATTGTATGGTATTTGTCCCAGTGTCCTCTGCACCTGTTGCGATGGATAGACTGACTGAACAAAATGAACAAACCTAGTACATGATACGTGATAGACTGATTGAACAAAATGAACAAACTTAGTACATTTGCATCTCGGGCATTGAAGTAGACGACCCCCCATGGAGTAGAATGCCCCGCCTACCCTCTCTCTTCTTAACAGCTCATCAGCAAGCATTTTGCAAGTGGATGGACTTGTCCACATCAAACTTACTGAATTGGTTAAAGCTCTTAGCCAGCTCCTCCGCTACCTCTAGGCGAATCAATCAGCGATCGGTGAGTGACGCCCCCAACCAACTCCCATCACCTGTTTTATTTTTGTCATTGCACCTACTCCATAGTGCTTATCTCGTTTACTTATTTATGGCTTATCATCCTGTCTCCCCAGCTCACTCCACAAAGGCAAAGACCCTGCCTGTCTCGACACGTATCTATCCCTGCCTTCTAGATCAGTGTCTTTCTTACAGTAAAGACCTAATATAATGAATGTCTGTTGGCCGGGCTCGGTGGCTCAGCCTTTAATCCCATGCTTTGGGAGGACGAGGCGAGTAAATTGCCTGAGCCCGCGGGTTCGAGCCCCGCCTGGGCAACTTGGCGAGACCTCATCTCTACAATAAATCAACAAAATGAGCCGGGCGTGGTAGCGCGCGCCTGTAGTTCCAGCTACTTGGAAGGCTGAGGCGGAAGGATCGCCAGAGCCCAGCAGGTTGAGGCTGCGGTGGCCAGGAGCGTGCCACTACCCTCCAGTCTGGGCGACAGTGAGACTCCAACTCAAAAAAAAAAAAATCTGTTAAAGAAATGAATGAATGAGCACCAACCGATGTGAGGCCAGACAATCAGTTATGCTAGAGTTGCCCCATCCTAAAACAGTTCCCGCTCCTGCAGGTGAGTAACAGGTGTGACAGAAGCCGAATGAGCCAGACCTGATTGTTAGCTCGCGCAGGTATTTACACGTAACATCGTACATCAAAGAGAAAGGCCAACTCACCAGCTCTGCAGCAGAATCACCTATGGCGGGATCTGCAAACTCTTGGCCAGGTGCCCTCCAGGTCGGTGAGAACTCCTTTGGTTGAAAGCAACAGAAACCCAACTAAATCATCCAAGAGGAGGAGAAGGGTTACTTTCGCACACACATAGGACGTCCCAGAGGTTGGGGGATCAGGACACTGACTTCAGGTGTCACCGGACCTAAGGGCTCCGATGGCATCAGCAAGCTTACAAATTAGAACCCAAACTTACCTTGTTTCATATATGTCTCTATTTTTAAAAATTTTTTTTCAGTTGGAGTCTCACTCTGTCACCCAGACTGGAGTGCAGTCGCCGCTCCCGGCCACCGCAGCCTCGACCTGCTGGGCTCCAGCGATCCTTCTGCCTCAGCCTTCCAAGTAGCTGGATCTACAGGCACGTGCTACCATGCCCAGCTAGTTTTTGATTTATTGTAGAGACGATGTCTCACCAAGTGGCCCGGGCTGGTCTCGAACCCACAGGCTCAAGGCCACTCACTCGCCTCGGCCTCCCAAAGTGCTGGAATTACAGACTGAGCCACCGAGCCCGGCCGTGTCTCTGTTTATTGTCTTATCTTCCTCTGCCATGTATCCTCTGTGGGCTCCATTCTCAGGCAGGCTTCTTTTGTGTACTGGCGGAGAAGGTCCCAGCAGTGCTGGGTCCATGACGTGGTCCCCAATGCCTGTTGTTCCTTGGACCATCAGGCTCACATACACAGCTCAGGAGGAGCAGCGTGAAATGGCCGAACAGCAAACAAGTGCACCGGGTATTTGGGCACCTGAAGGGGGCTGGTGTGACTGGATGCAGGAAGTGATGTGGGTGTAACCCAGGGCCTCAAAGCTACAAGGAGGACTTTATTCTTTATCTTGAGAGAAGCAGGCGGCCACTGAAGGGTTTAAGGAGACAAGTGATGGCCAGTCTGGCCTAAGTGTGCCAATAGGGTGGAGGGGACAGAGGTGAGGCAGGGAGACCAGCAGGGGTCATGGCAGTCACCTGGGCAAGAAGTGGTGGCCTGGACTGAGCTGGTGGCATGAAGTCGGCAGTGTGATTACTGCCTCAGAGTTCAACCCACAGAACTTGGTGGGAAGAGGGACAGGTCAAGAATAACTCATGGACCGCTCAGTGAGCGATGGCTCAGCCTGTAATCCCAGCACTTCCGGAGGCCGAGGCGAGAGGATTGTCTGAGCCTGCAGGTTCGAGACCCACCCGGGCAACTTGGCGAGACCTTGTCTCTACAATAAATTAAAAATTATCTGGGTGTGGTAGCACACACCTGTAGTTCTGGCTGCTTGGAAGGCTGAGGCAAAAGGATCGCTGGAGCCCAGCAGGGCGAGGCTGCGGTGGCTGGGAGCGTGCCACTGCCCTCCAGTCTGGGTGACAGAATAAGACTCCAACTCAAAAAAGAATAACTCATAGGTTTTGTTATGGCTGAGTAAGCGAGAAGAAGCTACGCCAGCAGGTTGAGTTTAATTATGAATTTATTAACACATGGGTCAAGAGTAGGAACGAAAACTCTTGACAGATTGGTGCAGTTTGTGACAAGCTTTTTTTTTTTTTTTTTTTGAGTTGGAATCTCA